TAAACGGAGAAATGAAAAATTTGGAAGTTAGTACTGTTATGAAAAATGCACGTTTCTCCATAAGTATTATACCCACACTCATAAAAATTAATATATAAGTAGTTTCGACCTTGCCGAACAACTTTCAATTAATTTAGAAAGTCGATTTCATTTGACTGAAGTGGTGTAATTACGCTCTGAAGTTATAAACGAAAAAGTGAAAAATTTAAAAGTTATTACCATTAAAAAAAATATGCTTTTCTATATAAATATCATACTTAGCCTTATGAAAATTAAAATACAAGTAGATTTAACTTGCTGAACAAACTTACTTAAACATAAAAGATAATTTGATATAACCAAAGTGGTGAGTAGTGAAATTATATTTTAAAGTAAAACATATTTATAGTAATTTTATTTAACAAAATAAACATGTATAATATAGTAATTTTATATTAAAAATAATACACTGAGTTTAATAAAAATTAAAAAGATACTATTGACAGATAATTAATAAAACATTGAAAAAAAAAATGAAATTTCATCAAAAAAAAATTTTTGTTTATATATTTATATAAAATTGTGAAATGTAGTACAAAATTAACACTTACCGTTAGTGAAAATAAAATAAAAATTAATTATAAATTCAATATATAATATTTTAAAAAGTTATATAAATATGAAAAATAAGCAACTAAAAACTCTTAGTATTTTAAAATAATACCAAAAATATGCAATTTAATTATCTTACATAGTATAAAATTTTCTTAAAATTAAGCATTATAAAATTTTTACATCATAAAACTTTACTATGTTGGCTAAGCACCTTGGTACCTTACATATATAAGCATTTTCCGGGATCCTGTACAAGCTCAGTCGTATACTTCAAGAGGAAAGAAGTGCGTAACATACACTAAGGTTGTATTAAATTCTAATTCTGATGATTTCTAATCTATGTCACCATCCTTTAAGAAAAACGAAACACTCAACAGACTTCTAATAAAAGTAGTACAGATGTCAACAAAACACAGCAGCATAAGACTAAGAAGTCCAAACTTACACTGGAGAAAACTATATCAATTGTTATGTCCAGATATACGCCACAAAATACTGCTAATGTCTGGGAAATAGTGATTTATGATATCCCTTTTACCATATCGCAACTCAATATCCTTACGAACCTAGGGAAATGGAGTCAAGTAATTGCATTCAAAATTAAAACACAAAAGAAGTACGTGACTGTGACCATGTCTATCAACTTCAACAAGTGGGCTTTGCACAATTGGAATAACTGAGTCTGAACAGCTCCGTTTGAAGGAATATCTATACAATGATTCCTTGCGTCTTGGATTTTAAAGCAATGCAAAGAATTTCAGGTTGTTGTAATGGATATACCCAAGTTTGTTACTAATAATGTTGTTTACAATACAGAGAACCCATCTAATCAATGCTATCATAACTGGAAAATGCCTTAGTTTTCAAGATTATTCAAGACTGTTGGCAAAGAAAGTTGATTGTGTATTTTGACACTTGGATAAGTTTGGATAAAGCACTCAATATGGAATTTAACTTCAAAAAATTTAAAGGTGTTTGGACTAGATATTTCTTGTTCACCTTGAATTGGCTTAAAAATAGACCACCAAAAAAGACAGATTCTACTTAGAAGCAGAATTAATAGAAGACTCTGAATATTTTGTAGAAAGACAATAATAGTAGACAAAATAAGAAAGAGAAGTCTAAAGGAAAAAAGAAGTATTTTACATCGAATAATAAGAACCTTTGACAATAGGGATAAACTTATTATTTTAGCTGAAATTCAGATCTTGCTAAGATCACTGGCTAACTGATGAGGATGATTGGATTAAATATGGTATTATAGGGATGAATTAGTGTACTCACTACTACGTCTATATATATTAACCTTTTTTTATCCTATTTTTTATTTATTAAATCCTTTTTTTTTCCTGTTTCGTAATGAATTTTATAGACTTTTTCTGCTTAGACTAAGAGGAGGGATTCCCTCTAAAAACGAATACTTATGCATGAAGAGCAGAAAGTACTTTCATAGCAAAATGTTTACTTGACAGTGTATATGTGAGATTTTGCAAGAGAATGATAAGTGGTTTAGAACTTACTAAATTAGATTAGAACTTTTGTATTCACTTGTGTGTGTAATATGAATTATTTTTTTCTAATAAAGTTTTAAATACACTGCAATTAGCAAAAAAAAAAAAAATATTTATATTATAAATATAATAATATCTTAAGAAAAAATGTATTTGTAACAGCCTGTTACATATCTTATTTGTAACNATTATTTAACACTATAAAATATACTAAACATATCAGTATATTCAAACTATATGACAGATGTGTTATTTAATTTAATACTAAATCTTACTACTAAAGATTCCTTCTTTTTATCACTATAAATAGGCGAAAGAAGTAGCAATGGTTCTTTTGCTATAAATACTTTATAGCTTTTACTTATTTATAGAAGAGGGATTTTTCATAAAATTATTAGATATATATATATATATATATACATCTATCATTAAATTAAAAAAATAAAAAAAAAATTTCAGGAAAAAAGCTTAAAAATATTTATCATGTATATCATGTGATATTGCTTAATAATTACTACAGCTTCAGCTGCAGTATAATAAAAAAAAAAATTAAACTTTTTTTAGTAAAAGCTTAATTTTTTTTTCTTATGACTTTTACTTTTCCTTTTTTTTGTTCTTTCCCATTTCTTTCTTTTACCTTTCCCTTTCCTCTTTCTTTTCCTTCCTTCTTTCTCCTTCTCTTTAGCAGAATGGTACAGTAATTAAATAAGATAATCTGTACTTAATTAAGCAGGACTCAAATATTACATATACAACTCAGAAAATATCTTTTTAGCAAATTGGCATAAATTTTAAAATAAATTTCACTTTTTTGTAATTATCTTGGCATTCAGTGATCTAATTTATGTGAACTTTTTTTTGTTTTGTTAAGATTTATAAAATAAAAAAATTCTGCATGAATCAGTTTACTAGATGCTGAGATAATCACAAAAAACTGAAAATAAAAAAAGAGCAAATTGGGGTTTTTTGGCAAAAAGTTAGTTGTGAGTTCTATAAGAGATACTATCTGAGATCCTAATTAAGCTAATACATTTTATTCAATTAAATAAAAGAAAATTTATATTATAAATTCAAAGATTCAATTTTTATCCATTTAAATTTTAGTAAATTTAAGAGATTATGAAGATTTAAAGAATTATTAATGAAAGTATAAAAAAATGTAAGAAATTAATATAAAGAAACAAATAAATTACTTATTTACCATTTTTCAAAAATTTCATATTTATCTTTAAACTCTTCTTCTACTTTTTTCCCTTTCCTTTTTTTCTCTCCACTCCTTTTCTTTTTCTTTCTTCTTTCCCATTCTCTTTTTCTTTTCTAAAACTATCTTTCAGAAAAACAATAATAAGTTTCAAAGCAAAATGCTTCAAAACTTTTTTAAATTTTTTTTTGTTAATTCTTTATTATAAGGAAATGTTTTTAATGTTTTCTTTTTTTTTTTTTGTAAGATTTTTGATGTTTTGACTTCAGGAAATAAGAAACTGAAATGATGATAAGTTTTAAAGTGTTTTGTTTTAAAACTTTACTAAAATAAAAAAAATTTTTTTTACTTTTATAAGAAATGTTTTTAATAATCCTTTATTTTTTTTTTAGGTCTTTCAGTATTTTTGACAAGAAAACAAAATGGTAAGTTTTAAAACATTCACTTTAAAACTTTTTTAAAAAAAATTTTTTTTTTAATTTTTTTTTGTAAGGAAACATTTTAACATTTCCTATTTTTTTTGTATAATTTTTTCAGCATTCAATCTCAGAAAGTGAAATGGTAAGTTTAAACATGTTCAAAATTTACTTTTTTTAATTTTTTTTAGGAAACATTTCTAACATTTCCTTTCTTTTTTTTTTAGAAACATCAAACAAAATTACAAATCAGTCATTAACTCTTTTTAATGCAAAGTAAACAAATCAGCTTATATGAGTATATTTTTATATGATTATTAAATATCAAGTAATTTAATATATTTTTTTATATAACTATAACTAGAAATAGTTTTTTTTTAATATGATTTTTGAGAATAGGTGTGTAGATTATGACTATATAAAATAGATTTTAATAATAATATCATGAAGTTTAATCAAATGGAGTTTTGTATTTACTAAATAAAAGTATTTAATAAGTATTAAAAATTTACATTTATTAAGTAATAAAAAAATTAATACTTAAATATTGCAATATTTTATTATTTATAGTATTTAATTTTTTAAATATTTTTTTTAAATATTTTTTTAATACTTTAATTTAACACTTATAGGCACTTTTTCAATATATCTTGTATTTAATAAGTGCTATTTATAAATATTTAATAAATACTTTAATAAACATTATAATGTTGAGTGTAACTAGGATTCTGCTTACTTATAATAAAAATTACTATAGAAAATTAGTCCTTTACTAATGATTTTTACCTTACTTTTTTCTTAAATTCTATTGGTTAATTAGCTAAAAAGGAAAAAAATCATAACAACATAACATAAAATTTCCTTTTATAATAGGATCTGCAAAGAATTTTATATATGATTTTTACCTTAGGCCTGAGGGTGACCTATCTTATAAGTAGATGGATCCTGTGTAACTATAAAAGAAATTAATTGTAATAAATGTTCTGAATCAGATAATATCCAATTTGGTTTTTTTTTTCAGTACTTTAATATCTCATATAATATAAAATTTCTTTTATAATAGAATCTGCAAAGAATTCTATATAATATATAATATATGATTTTTACTTTAGGTTTGAAATAACCTATCTTATAAATAAGTAAATCCTAGTTAAAGTACTACTTCTAGACAATCAGATAAATTCTATCTCTTTTATTTAACTTTTCCTTAATTTTATAATATGAAAAAATAATATTTTCTTGAAATTTCATAATGTAAATAATCACAAAATAAACCATAAATGATACTTGATAGCTATTTTAATACATTTCGCTATAATGGAAATTTTTTAACCGTACATAATAATTTTGCGAAGATGAGAAAAACAACGTATATACCAACGAAGTGATCGTCAATTGAACCGAATGCACTAGTATTTCTTTTTTGCAAATCAATTTTTTATTAATACAGACAAAGTTAGGTTATAGCCCGTACGTAATACATGACGTTTCTATGCTAATTTTAAATACGTAATAACTATTAAATTCACAGTTTAATTCAAAGGTCTCAAAGCTGGAAATAATAAAACCTACAATAATAAGAAAAATAAATATTTTTGAAAATGAAAGTAGAAAATTAAATCAAACATACCTCTTTAATACTGGAACTATTAGTTAATATCATGGCTAATCTGTCAATACCTAAACCCAATCCAGCTCTATAAAATAAATTTTAGTCAGATGCTTACAATATTAAATAATATTAAGAATATTTAAAATATTTAAACTTACGTGGGAGGTAAACCATATTCTAAACTTGTACAAAATACACCATCATCAATTTGAGCTTCTTCATCACCTAAGTCTTTTTGATGACTTTGCTCTTCAAATCTTTTCCGTTGTTCGAAAGGATCATTTAATTCAGTATATGCATTAATAATTTCATTAGTACCGACAATTAACTCGAATCTTTCGCATAATCCAGAAATTTCACGATGTGATTTTGCTAATGGTGATAAAATTTGTGGATGACCTGTTATAAATGTTGGTGATATACAATCTGATTCAATGAATTTTTGAATCAACTATATTTAATGTAAATGATAAGTTAATAAATCTATGGGATATATTACTCAAGAAACAAATTTACTACCTTATCAAACATCCTAGCATTTGTTTTTGGTGGACTACAAGCAACTTTATGTTTTTCACATAAATCACATAAGAATTTATTTGTATCTTCAGTATGTAATTGATCCGCATCAGGGAATTTCACATTTAACTTATTTTTCAAAGTTTCTATGATATCAATTCTTTTAAATGGTGGTTTAAAATCAATTTGCATTTTTTTGTCATCCATAACATAATCTATAACATATTTTTTTTTAAAATCATAAACCAAATTTCCCAATAAATCTTCAGTAATTTGCATTAAATCAAACATGTCAGCATAAGCCAAATAAAATTCTGCTGTAGTAAATTCAGGATTATGATTAGTATCGATCGATTCATTCCGAAATTGTCTTCCAATTTCATAAACTTTTTCTAATCCGCCTATGACCAATTGTTTTAAAAATAATTCCGGTGCAATTCTTAAATATAAATCACGTTTAAGATGACTATGATGGGTTACAAATGGTTTAGCTGATGCTCCACTCGCAATAAAATTCATCATCGGTGTCTCTACTTCCAAAAACCCTTGGTCATCCAAATATCGCCGAAGATAATTAATAATTTTTGATTTAATTAAGAATTTTTCTCGTATTTCATTATTCATCATCAAATCAAGATATCTTCGTCGATATCGCATTTCATTATCTTTAAATCCTTGATGTGAGGTTGGTAATTGGTGTAAACATGGTGATAACAATATAATGTCTTTCGAATATATTGATAATTCGCCTAATTTTGTTCTTCCAGGAAATCCTATAACTCCAACTATATCACCCCTTCGGATGTGTTCATGAACTTTTGCGAAATCACGTTCCGAATATCTAAAAAAAAAAAATACGTTATTTAATTTATATTACATTCATAAATCAAAGGATTGTAGCAAAAATATTTTATTAACTGGTAATAACATTTACTGCGCCTGAGCATTAATTTGTATTTTGGTTCCATCACCGTGTAAATCATAGAAAATTAATTCGCCGTGAGACCTTTGATTATGGATACGACCAGCTATTCTTACAGTTTCTTCAGTATTTACTTGTCCTGCTTTTATATGCGAATTTTTTTGAATAAATTGTGAAATAGTGATATCTACACTGAATTTATGTGGGTATGGATTTGGATCTTTTGTATGGCGAAGATCATCAATTATCTTTGAACGATATTCGAAATATTGCTATGTAACGTTGATAAAAGTTATTGACTGAAATCAAGAACGGAAATGATGGTGATAAAATATTAAACGTACGCTCGCGGTCTGTTCTAAATCGGGCACTTTTTGCTTTTTAAGTGATCCATTTGACTAATTCGAATAAGAGGAAAATTTTAGTCACTAATTTTACAGAGCACATTTATTTGTTAATATTATATACTTTGTATCGGGTTTGTACTTGTAAAAGTCGCAATGCATTCTTATCTCGTGCTAAAATTAAACCTCGAATTGAACATAATGGTAAACGAAATTGTCTCAATGCAAACATTTTGTCTGTACATCATTAAAGACTTACAGTTAAAAAAATTTTGATAATCTATGATCAGTTGTATCGGTGATAAGGATAATCTTTACGAAATCATAATTTAAATTCTGAGCTTCCTTGAGCCTGAATTAGAATATGAGAAAACCAGTACCAATACTTAAAACGTTTGAAATAGAAGTTAATCCAGACGGAATAGCTATTTTAACCTTGAATAGACCTAAACGCGCAAACGCGTTGAATTACGAACTCTTACAAGTAATGACCATTCTGATAAAATAAAGTTAAATTAATTATTTATTTATTTATTATTAATTGCAGGATTGGATTAGCTCGATTAAGTGGGCAAATGAAGAAGAACAAGTTAAAATCGTCATTGTAACAGGAAAAGGAAATTTTTTTTGCAGTGGATTGGAACTACCTAATGTACCTAGCGATATGGAAGAACTGAAAAGAACGGCAGAAGCTAATAATAATCTATTTAAGTATGTGGATTCAAAGCTAAGGAAAAGAAAATATAAAATCAAATAATAAATAATTGACATTATATATAGAAAATTGGTCGACTTATTAATAGATTTTCCTAAATTGTTGATAGCAGCTGTTAATGGTAAAGTTACTATATGAAATACTGTACCTTACTTGTTTTTAAGTATTTTATAATATTATTTATTTTCGTATAGGAAAAGCATTTGGATTTGGAGTTACATTTTTACCCCATTGTGATGTAGTATATTCGATACCAGAAGCAACTTTTCAAACTCCATTTATGCAATGGGGTAAATATTAAAAATATTAAAAGATTAAATACATTAAATACTAAACTTACAGTATATTTTTTTATAATTATTTGCATATTTTTTTATTAGCATTCTGTGCCGAAGGATGTTCTTCATATTTATTCCCGAAGTAAGTCATACATATTATGTACATAAAAAATAATTTGCTTATATATATTTTTTAATGAATAATTTAAATAATTTTAAGATATTTGGGACAATCAATTGCTAGCGAATTGTTGGTATGTTAAATATTGGAGAATTTTCCGTTTTAGAAAGTAAATTTATCTTGCTTGATTTTTTAGTTAATGAATAAGACATACACAGCACCAGAATTAGTTAAAATAGGATTCATCAGGTAAATTTAAATAATTATAGTAGTAAACTATAAAATAATAAAAACGAATTTATGTTCTTAATTAAATTAGCCGTTTAATACCGGAAGATCAATTGATTCAAGAAACATTAAAAGAAGCAACACGAGTAACAAAGTTTTCTTTTGAAGCCATAATAAAATCAAAAGAATTAATACGTAAAGATGAAAGAGAATATTTACATAAAATTAATAAACGTGAAAATGATCTATTATTATTAAGGTAATTTAATTACTAATCACTAAATACTTGTTTTTCTTATTAAGATTTACTTTTTATTTGCTATATATTAGAATATTATCTGAAGATTCTCACCGGGCTTTATTAGAATTCATGAGTAAATAAATGCATGTTTATTAATTATGTATATACTTTCGAAATATTCTTACTAATTGTTTTTCTTTTAAATTTGTACTTAGTGAATCATCAGAAAAAGATTAGCAAATTATAATTGAAACGTGAATATTGTATAAACCAATAGTATAAATAAGGAAATCAATTAAATTTCAATCAGAACAATGTTTCGAAAATCTTTTTGTGACGTTATTATAATAAATTTAATTAACTCGTGCGAAAAAAGATTACTCATACACGACAAAACACTAATATATAAATATAAACGAAATTTTTCGAATACAAACATAACTTTACAAAAGAAATCGTTATTTACTTACTCGTATAAAATGACTAAACATAGTTTAATGGATCAACCTGCTCCTTCTAACCTTGTTCTTCAAAATCAAGAAGGCGAATCGGTTGAATTAAAGTCTTTTATTGGTAATGGTAAACCATCAGTTATATTCTTTTATCCTAAAGACGAAACTTATGGCTGCACCAAAGAGGTAAAATTACAGCTTAATGTCGCGTTTTCTTTAAAACATTACAATACCGTTTCAAATGTCTCCATATTTCTCGTCTAAGTAAATTTCTTAAATTATAGGTTTGTAGTTTTCGTGACTCATATTCAGTATTTTCCGACGCTGGCGCTACCGTAGTTGGTATCTCTTCGGATCCTGTTGACAAGCATAAAAGATTCTATGATACTCAACACCTTCAATTCCCATTATTATCCGATCCAAACAGCGAAGCAAGAAAGCTCTACGATGTATTTTGTATATTTATTTCACTACTTAAATTTGTACTTTAATTTGATAATCTTATTTCTCTAATTTAGGTCCCGAAGACTTTAGGTTTTTTACCCGGAAGAGCTACTTTTCTGATTGATAAAGATGGTATCGTTCGCGACGTTTTTAATTCTATGATGGATTTTGAAGGCCACGTCAAAAAATCTGTAGAATTCGTTAAAAATCAAGTTGTTTCTACCTAGAATATCTATCATACTTATATTGCAATCTGGTAATTTTAATTAATTAATACCAAATATAGTCTAATATAGGTTGACATTGATTCGAATTTATTTATTGTAATTTATTGAATATTCTATGACACGCAAAAAAAATTTATATTCAAATTATTCAAATAAATCGCATAAAGTGAAAATGTATGATTAAGGGATATATAGCATTGTAATGTAAATATTTATATACATAGTGTCCTTACCCGTTTTCTTGATAAACATAAAAATACTCGCATCGTTTATTCAGAAATTTTATTTCACATGTGAATTTTTTACCTATACAGAAAAATAAAAAAAAATTGATAAATAAAAATTGATAATTTCATCACGATTATCCCGTACTATATTCATTATACCCTTGTGAATTTGGAGCTTGTCCGGATGGAGTGGAGCCTTGGTATTGACCGTAAGGACCTGAAGGACGCAGTGGTGGCGGAAAAGACGGCCGATTAGGATTAGGAGCCGAAGTCCCAAATGTAGGTGGCGGCGGTGGGCGAACTAACGATAAAAAAAAAAAATTTTTTAAGACATATTACAAATATATTTATACTAAATATGAAGTATTGTTGTGATGGTGCACCTGACGCTCCGTTCATCATAGATGGTCTAGGCGGTGGTTGTGTTGTTGTTTGTGTGTTTGTCCCTGGCGCATGATATCCTCCGTACACGTTTGTTGGAGAAACGATTGAAGGTGGTATGCCAGGACGAGACATTCCAGTATTTATTTGTTGTGGCGAAGCTGGTATCTGTGCGCGAACTCCTATCATTGGAGGTGGAACAGTAGGTGGACGAACATCTGCAAACAAACGGTTCGGCAGACTTTGATTTTTCTTCGCTTGGGCTGCCAATAACCGTTCTAGGGTATGCAAATAAAAAAAAAAATGGTCACCCATTGAAAGTAATATATTCGATTCGGAAGAAAATACGAACCTGCAGCACTTCCATGTCTTTCGCCTTTACCATCCTTTTTGAACGCGTATGATACAGTAATTGGTTTGTTCATCAGATATTGCCCGTTCATTGCATCAATTGCCGCATCTGAAGAATCGAAATTGTCATATGAAATAAACCCATACCCTTTACTATTACCAGTATCGGGATCTCTTGCAATCTAAATTAAATATTTCGACTTAATTAAATTAAATATGTAAAATGAATTCGATATTCGATAATTAGTCTATATCAATACCTTGGGAGTCTGTACGATAACACCAAAAGCGCTGAACGTATCGTACAACATTTTTTCATCAACATCAGGATCCAAATTTCCTATAAATAATGAAGCGCCTACGTCCAAATTCTTTTTGTCCGAAGTTGCCTAATAATAATACGACGAAGCGTCAATGCTACACAGCAAACAATAAAAACAAGCCAAAAATGTTTACGCCTACTTTATTGACACGAATAGGCTTCCCATACAGTTTGATTTGATTCATTATTTTAATAGCATAATCTGCGTCATCTTCACTCATATATTCACAAAACCCATAACCTTGATGTGTTTGAGTTACGCGATCTTTTGGTAAGTGAACATTGACTTGAAGTCAAAACATATTTTCTGATTAGTAATGCTGAACTGATAACAATAAAAATGAGCGGAGAGTGTGAAAATTACCAACGGGCCCTGCCTGAAGCATTAACTCCCAAATCAGAGCTTCAGTACAACGTTCATCAAGGTTACCAATATAAACCGTAGCGTCTTGATTGCGTTCCTCTGTAGGACGAGCCATAATGTCAAGGAAAAAAAAATTTTTTTGACGCTAAATAATTATTCTATTTTGGGCAAAATTTAATCCTACAAATTTTTAAGGACTTAATTCCAGCCAAATAATAAATCAGATAAAACGAGAATCCAATTTAACAAATGAAGTTCGTGCTATTTAAACGAAATTACGCGGGTGCCATTTTGCCATTTTTAGTATTTTTAGTCGCTTTTTGTGTTAAATTGACGTCAAATTAGTAAATTAGTTACGTTAAATTACTAAATGTATTATGATTGTTTTTGGAAATTCAATATCTAGATTCCTCTTTTTTTTCGTGTTATTATGCAAGTATATTAATTTTTATATAAGAACAAAAATTGGCTACAAAACAAAACCTTATTAAAATTTTAAATTAGCACAAATATCGCTCACTTAATAAAATCTTTTTGTTTAAAAATGTAAAGAATATTTTTTTTATTTACACAAACACCATATCAGAAGAGAAAAAATTTTCAAAGAAATTAATCTTTTTGGTGGTGTGAGGTAGTTAACAAAAATTTATACGAAAATTATGGGGGATAATTTTTTTATATAAAAAAAAAGTATATAAAGAAAAGAAAAAAAAAATGAAATGAATAGATTAGATCAATTAGGTCAAATAATTTGTAAATATTATTCGCTAATATTGTATATTTCAGAAAGTTAAGACGAACGAAGAATAAAAATTTTTCGTATACAGATTATTTATAGATCACGTGACATTTAGCTTGCTTGGTTCTATTAAAAATTAAAAAATATTTAAAAAAGAAAAGTTTTTAGGTAAATACGTGTTAATTTTTAAAGTTGACGTCATCTCTAGATGACGAAACATTTAGGGAGAGCAAAATAAACGCAGAAAAAAAGATATACCTTTGGGTTATCGGGACTATTCTTCCACCGTTCAGCGACGAGCTTAAAAGCAGCTTTATGTTCAAGGTTAGGATTTTCTGCCTTAACTTTAGGTAGTTCAGACTTCATGAAAGCATTGTATGGAGAGAGTTTTCTCTTACCACCTAATAATTTTAAATTTTAATAAAGAGTTCAAAACGATATATATTAGAAGATATAGGTAATATATAATATATATAAAAATATATGTACAGTCGCGGTCTAAGCGACGTTTATAAGTGCAGTATACAAGTAGCAAAAAAAAGCGTGAAATAACGTGGACGTAGAGCTCCCCTGTCCTCCCCAAAGCATTCTTTATAATAATAATTTGGAAGAACACGCTCTTGGATTAAGAGCTTTTAAATTTCCCATATATAATATATATAGACATATAATTGAAAGTTAAAATAAATACGAAAATACTCACCACCGGTAGCTTTCTTTGCAGGTTTGGCTTTAGGCATTTTGAACTTTCAAGCTTAGAACTAGAAGTTTGGTAAGATGATGAGAGAAAATTGAGTTATGTTTGGTAGTAACGAGAAAAGCAGGTATGTTGGGGGTTTTACTCTAAGGTATTTTTTTTTCGTCTATTATATATGTAGTATATGGGGTGTATATGGATGTGTCTTATGGGGATTGTTTTTTTTTGTTTCCCTCTCAATTAGCTTATTTTTTTTTCACATATAGTATAGCAGAAATATAGATTGATATTTGTGACATACATATTCTAATATCGGACAGCCTTACATATGAAGTATATACTTCATATGGACACTCCTTGACATTTAGTACTAGTAATACTTCACACGGCGCAAAAGTAATTTAGTATTACGTGTATTATTATATATCATATATACTATTATAAACTTCTTATTATCCATAATATCAGTTATTGTATTTTTTTTTATCATTGTAAATTCATATTTGTTACTCACAGCCCAGAAAAAGACGACCCGCCGATAGCAAAAAAAAATTTTCGTAATCATTCATTTACTCATTTCTTATTCATTTAATAGTAAACACAACTGGATTAGTGAGTAGTAAATTTATAAATTTATAAATTCCGCTCGTTTAAATATTTTATAAGGAGATGATTTACGAAGAAAATCAAAGGCTTGAAATTAATTTTGCTGCGCCACGCTATTTACAAGATAACAAGTTCATATACAAGTCAAAATTTGGAATTGTTGCACCTGGCAAATAAAACTTTTATCGTGTGTTTAATACACATATAGTAATCATAAACACCATATGACCCTATGAATGCATTTCTTATTATATATCTGTATATTATAAAAGTCATCTGATAAAAAGAATTCTTAATTGTTGTGGAAAATCGTGTTCAAATTAAGGCTTTGTTAGTGGATTATTGTGTAATAAGCACACTATTATGTGTAATAGGACAACCTTTTTTTCTTAATGGAATGAAAAGAAAGAAAAAAATTTTTCACCTTCCACGCCCACTCTATAATAATATTAGTATGTTCAATAATAAGTTATTATCAATGAACAAAAAAAGAGGGTACAAAAAATATTTATTTTAAAAACGGGGTCCTTAAAATTTATTATAAGCAGGTTTGAAAAATATACCCACACTCACACTTACACAATTCCTCCTTCAAAGGTATGAAAGGGGTGTGTTCATATTATTTATAAAAATTGGGTGTACAGCCTTTCAATTAGTATACTAGTATTTCGACCGAATGATATCGCAACATAACCACTAAATGTTATAAATTATTTCTTACATTTTATTTAGCTTTCCGCAGTAAATTTATTTTGTTTATATTAATTCATGCATTCGAACTTGTTTAGGCATTTACTATTGATGATCATTGTCAAATTTAATTATCATTTTTTTGGCGCAAGAGCAAGTTTAAAAAATTACCAAAATACAAAAATAAAAATTTTGCCTTTCTCGTAAATTTATAAATTTTGATTTTAACAAATTTAAGCAGTATTACAATAATAAACGATTATAACATATATAACAGATGTAAATTTTTTCTTATTTCTTTAATAGTTAATTAATTCAGATCAATTTAACTATAAGACTATGAATATTTTTATTAAGATGCAAAAAAAAATTGTTAATGTGTAATTGTATAATAAAAATATACACTAACAAACTTAACATAAATTTATAAAAAAAAGTTTGTTTAATAATTTAGAGAATGTTATCTAATTTATTATATATTAAATATATTTATATATGTAAAATTACAATAAAGCTATATAAAAAATTTTTTATATTTTAATTATACTTGTATTTATTGAAATTTTATATCTGCTAGTATAATTTTAATCATACAAAAGAAATTTAATTTTAGTATAAAAGAAATAATTAATAATAATATATATATAATAATTTAAAAAAATTCACTTTTTTATAAATATTTATAATTATTAAATTACCAAATATATACCATTTGAAAAATATAAAAAATTTATTTTTTTTCATTTATTCTATTAGATATAAATACTTTATTTAAATTTTTTTTAAAAAAAATAAAGAATTTCAATAAATTATTATAAATTTTTTAATATTTATAATATATATAATTTATTTATTTATAATAATTTTTATATATAATTATGATTACAATTACTATAACTTTTATTAAAAGTAAAGTAATTGGAATTTTTAAATAATATTATTTATTATTTTTCTATAAAATTACAATTACCATATTTTATTAGTTATTAAAATTAAATTATTTTATTATTATTTATTAATGATTAATATTAATTATATTGTCTTTTTCAAATTATATTCAATTTTAATAAACTTAACAGTCAGTGGAAATGTCATTTCTCTTACCAATCATTAATTAAAATAATTTTGTGTAACTATAATTGAATATATCACCACGTAGCTAAAAAAAGAAATTTTTAATACAATGCTTATACAAATTAAGTAAATTAATAGTTCATCATGTGGACTATAAATATTTGTCATCATTTCCTCTTTAGTAATATTTTTTTTTTCTTTACATATTACAAGAAAGTTCGTCTCAAAAATGAAGTTTTCCTTAAAATGCAACTTAAAGGTGGGTATAAAATACAATTTAAATAATGCAAATATATGTAATTTTACGAGAAGAAAAAGATTTATTAAGTTAAAAAAAGCAGTTATTTAGGGAAATTTTGTGTAAACCGCAAAAAACCAATTTTTATAATAAAAAAAATTTTTCTTGATTTCAATAAAACTCTTAACAAAAGCTTTCTTAATCAGCAATTATTTCATTTTTAGGTATAATTTGGTGAAATGAACAACTTTTGTTAAGCTTAGAATGGTGATTATTAAGCTAGATTTTTTGTTATTTATAAATTTTGTTGAATTTTTTAATTATAATGCTAATAAAAAAAATTTTTTTTTTATTAGAATAATATTATTAGGTCTATTTGAACGTTATAAATGAGGTTTAATCGCAAAAATAGTTAAATATTATGTTTTTATTTGTTTATTTAAATTAGACATTTAATGCTTAATTCTTAATATTATAGTAATTATGTAAATTATTATAACATTAAAAAAAACTTTGAAATTTTTAATTTTAGTTCGTTTAACAAGAAAATAAAACAAATATTATTTATTCATAAAAAAATTCTTATGACTTAACAAAGTAAATAGACCTAATAATCAATAAATACAAATAGTATAATATGAATAAGTAAAATATTTTTTTATATATATAAAAAGTATCTAAAGTAGCGTTAAAATAAAAGATATTTATTGAATATTTAAAAAAAATAAGCAAAAGAATAAGGTTAAATAAATTTTCTTAATTTTTATTAGTTTGTTGTATTGAAATAACCATATAATTGCCTACTTTCTTTGGCCAGATACAACTGAATAAAGTGCAGTTTTTGACTTTTAAAAGGTTTAAAAATATTTTTTAAACCTTGAATGAACATGTTTACTATTGTTGGAAAAAATGTTACATTGCATAAATATGGTGTTACCTTTGACCTGAAAATTTTGATTTTAATGTAATTTGGGCCAGCATTACAAATTCAGCCAGAATTAAGAAAATTTCGGCCAGAATTAAGATCTGAAAATTGTCGATTTTAGCCATTTGTACCAACTTTAGCCAACCTTAAGTTTACATATATACTATATGCTATATAGTCATACTGTTCCAATAATTTATATTGAGATATCATAGTACAAAAAATCTCCCTCTAATTTTTGGGAACATTTCTACTAACTGTTAATACTTGATTTCAAAACTTCTTAATTTTTTTATATATTGTAATACTATTATATACAGTCAATTCCCTCTATAGTCACTCCCATTATAGTCACATTCTACTATATAGTCACACCAGTTGAATGTTCAAAACACTTTATTATTAAAATCTATCCTATATAGTCACAATCTATTTATAGTCACTATCACACCTATCCTCAAAAATCTTATATTAAAAAGAACCGTTTATAATCACAGTTATATAAAGAATATATTAAATAACTTGGCATCTAATAATC